TTGTCATGCTGAAAGACCCATCCACAACCTAGCTTCAGTGTTCTGGCTCGATATAAGTAACATAAAGATTAGAGACTGTTCATTTATTTGTAGGTGCTCAATATCACAAATTCAGCAGGGGATCAAATAATTAATTCCCCCGTCTACTGTCATTCACTGGACAGATAGCGCATTTTGCTATAAAAGCATCACCTCTTTTTTATCTTTATCAAATAAATTTTAAAATATTTAAATACTTTGACTTTGATGAAGGCTCTAAATGAATTCTTGTGCTATTAAGCAGTGTGTAGCTGATGCAAACGTAACTATTTTTTCACTTGTTTAAACTGCAACGCAACTACATTACTGAAAGAAATTTAAAAATGCATTTTTATCTTTCTCATCCCTCATTGCTCTGAATACATAATTAACTCCACTGGCTAATGAAGGATTTTGCTTAGCACATTCAAGTCAGCAGTCAGAGTTGTCCTCTTTTTCTAATTCCATACAATATTAGCCTAAAGCTTTCTCTAAGTGAATGTGCGTGGTCTCTCTCTAATTGGGTCACCAGAAACCAGAAAAGAAAACAGAAAGGTAGAAAGAGAAGAACGACACCAGGGTGCGCCGAAGGCTGAATGGGCGCATTTTGATTCTCAACAGTGGTTTTAAACCCCACTCTGTGCACTGTATTGCACCAGGATAACTGTAGTACCTCATGAAAATTCAAAAACAGGTGAGTCATTTTCCTGGCATGTTAATAGGTCAAAAAGATGCATTTGATCCATTAGTGTTAGTTGTAAGTGTTCTCGTGGCTCCAATTAGAGCCACATTTCTTGGTGTGAGCAGACCTAATGAAAAGCGACATTAAAACATGGTATATGTCAAATGTGTCAGCATGAGAAAAGTATATTTTCATTGAGCTCCAAACTAGTCATAAAACTGCTCATCACCATAAACGTGTCTGAGAAATTATAGTGATGTGAGCCCCAAGAGGACAGAGCCATTACAACCTCTTGTAAAACACAACATATCAGCAAAATATGTGCAAATGATCACAGGCAATTAGGCGTACGCTGTTTGGTTACAAGAATCATGTCCAACAGCTCCTTGGGGTAAAATCCTCGCTCGGATAACACGTAGAATCTGTAGACAAACACATATCACCTTTAAATTACAAGGAATCGTCATCAGAGCATAGTGCATAGTGAACTGACAGGCTTGTGTTAAAGACAAAGGCAAGACTGCATGGAAATGATGGATGACAGTACTAAACTTTAAATTATGCACCCCCCCTTTGGCATTTTCATTTTTCTATTCTGTTCTTTTCAAATGATCCATTTAAAGCAAGCATAGCAGCATTCAGACAATTCTCATAGACCTTTGCAAAAACTATATGCATCAATGGCATCTAGTGTATTATTTCTTTCTGTCTTTGATTCCTCAAGCAAGCCAGTGGTATGCAACTCTTATTCTTTTTAAGAAAAACTACTCAATGCCATTGCAATTGTTGAATTTGTTTAACAGCCTCCACCCTTGCTTGACATACACAATATCCCTACTGTGAGGTGTGCTGTGCGAGCAGGATTACAGTAGCAAAGTGCAGTCTAATGTGACAGAGAGGCAGTTTAATGTCCCATTATAGATACCAGGGTCTTGACAACCAATAAAGCATTTAGATGCAATTTGGTCCTCTGGTGCGTTCACTGCATAAATGTGCTGTTGCCTTTTTTTGTGGAACAACCTCTTGAGTGTCGACTGTTTGTTTTACGTGTGACGGGCCTGTGACAACGCACTTTCTTTATGCCGTGTTTAGTGCTCTTTAAGAGACAAACTTAATTTTTGTTGTTGCATCCGATGAAGACGGTTCAGGGAGGGAATACTTGCTTTGGTCAGGATTT